AACAGTACTCCTCAAAACTGTTGAGAACGAAAACAAGAAAAATCAGCCAGGTATCATGCTGCATGCCTATAACCCCCAGCAGTCTGAGGCGCTGAGGCAGCAGGATCTTTTGTTTCACCCTAGCCTGAGCAACTTAGGGAAACCTTGTTTCAAAATTAAAAAGAAAAAAAGTTAAGGGCTAGGCATGTAGCTCTGTGTGAAGGCCTTGAGTTCAATCTCCAAAGCAAAAGTAAAGTAAAAAGTAAGTAAAGTAAAGTAAAATAAAATAACAAATTTAAGAAAATGTCACTGCCAAGAGGAGCAAAGATACGATCACTAATGTAATGTGGCGTAGCCAATAAGATCCTGGAACACAAAATTGACATGAGGTATAATCCAAGGAAATCCGAATAAAGTATGGAGTTTAATTAATAAGAAAGTATTAATATAGCTCATTGATTTTATCAAATGTCTTATGCTAATAAGCTAGTAATACAGGAAACTGGGTGTGGGTATATGAGAACTCTGCATTGTCTTCCTAAGTTTGCTGTTAAGTCTAAACAGTTCTTAGAAAAACATGTATAAAAATGGCATTTTAAAAAAGTAGAGGGCCTGTTGAAAAGAGACACACTGATCAACGTAATTTATGAACCTTGAGGAAGCAGCTATAAAAGCTATTCTGGGGACACATGGATAAATCTGAACTTGAAGTAATATCAGAGGATGGTCAGTCTTAGTTGGGAGAATATTATATGGTCAAATGGGAGAACGCCTTCTTCACTCTTGGAGAAGAGGCATGCTGGCCTATCTAGGGATGCCATGGAGCATTTTGATAAATTCTGCAACTTATCTCAACTTACTAAAGAAAGGAAAAGGCATATTTGGAAAGAAAAGGCAACTGGAAAAATGTTAAGAATGGTGACTTTGAATTATGAATCTAAATGAAACGTTTATCATGATATTCTTTCACATTTCTGTAGGTCTGAAGTTTTTCAAAACAAAATTTTAGGTAAAATATCAATATGATTTTAGATTTGGACAAAATGATAATGAAAACTGACCTGGAAATAACAGACTAGCAAAACCAAGTAAGAAAGTGTACAACTAAAACTACTTAAAGTAGAAGTTTTGGTACCCAATTGCAGAGTCCAGAAACAGATCTGAATATGTTTGGAAATTCAATGTAGGAGTGGAAATGGCTTTTTCAATCAATGTGGAAAATCAACAAGTGAGATTGGGATAACCAGAGACATCTTTAGGGAAGAAAAACGCTGAATCTGTCCTTAATTCCCACTACATATATTTCAAATAAATATTTAAATGTTAAAAAATAACAGTGAGAATACTGAAAAAATATGCTAAGTTTATTCTGAAATGTAAAGCCCTTTCTTCAGCGAGGTAAAAATCCTAAAAGCCTTGAAGACTGATAACTATAACTACATAAATAAATGAAGCCGAGGAAAATATTACAAATCAAATGACAATGGACTAATATTCTTAGCTTTCAAAAAGCTCATACAAATTAGAAAATCATTTACTAGAAAACAGAACATGATCATACAGTTCACAGAAAATATCCGGAACCAATACACATGAAAGATATGTTCCATTTCCATTAAAAGGCATTAAATTTTCATTAAAATGAAAGAAACCATTTGTTCATTTTCAAGCGATCAAACTTAAAACGTTTAGCAACCAGGATTGGCATGGGTCTGGTAAATAATCACATTATATGTGCAAGTATACAGGGCGAAATTTTCTGGAGGACAATTCTGCAGCAGCTATACAACTGCAAGTGAAAAATACCTTTTGATCCAGAAATTCCACTGTAGGAATTAACCCTGTAGACACAATCTCATTAAATGTACAAGTATGTTCATTGCAATAAGACTAGTAAGAATAAAATATTGGGAACACCCAAAGTGCATCAATATTTAAACATTTATAACGAATTGGAATATCATAGTCATTAAAAAGAATGTGTCTTAGGAAGAAAACGTTCAAATGGGGAGGGGAACAAGAGAGAAGGGAGGGGGAAAGGAATGAAGGGAAAAGTAAAAAAAAAAAAAGAAGGAAACAAAGCTTTTGGAAATGGGGAGTGGTTGAAGGGAGGGTGGGGGAATGGGAAAAAAAACAAGTTATATCACGTACAGGGACAAATTCCCTATGATGAATGCAATCATTCTGTATATCTAAAGTGTACCGATAAGTCAGACTGAAAAAAGAGTATTTCTGAGTATAATGATACAGAACGGTCTTATAAAATACAAGTAGCAAAACAAGAGCAAGGTACAGAAGAGTGTATATAGTCTGATTCCATTATTGTACAAAATTTTTAAAGTGCATTATTTGCTGCCAGGGATGGTGGCACATGCCTATACCACCAGCACTCTGGGAGGCTGACGCAGGAGGATTGTAAGTTTGAGCCTAGCCTAGACAACTTGGAGACCCCGTCTCAATATTTTTAAATGAAGGGCTGGGGATGTAGCTCAGTGTCAAGGCCCTCGGTTCAATCCCCAGTACTGAAAAAAAAATTTATATATATATATATATAAAATTTTCTAACAAACAAAAATACAAAACACTTGAAGCTGGTTACCTCTACAGGTTAAATATCTGGGTGGGGGGGAACGGGGCAGAAGTTTGAATTTTACATCTTTCTGTACAATCTCATCGCTTTGCCACATGCATATATCTACTTTCCCCCCTTTTCCAGAACACTTCATTAGGTTATTTTGATATGTTAAGTAAAGTAGAATAGTGGTAGTGTTTTCAATATATGGTAGTTAAGTGTGAAGTTTTACAAACTAGACCCTCCCCTTGAATTTTCATTAAGTGTTACATTTGCCCTTGATGCCTTAATCAGAATGCTTTCCTGTTAAGTACGATTTAAGAGGCACTTTTGAGTCTATAACAAACTTTGCGACAGAATGATTAGGCACTGTTGCTCCAGGACCAACTCTTGGCTGGGTGTGATGGTGCACTCCTATAATCCCAGCACTCTGGATGGCTGAAGCAGGAGGACTGCACGTTCAAAACCACCCTGAGCAACTCAACAACTTAGCAAGACCTGCCTCAAACTGTAAAAAATTTTAAAAGGGTTGGGGATGTAGCTCAGTGCAAAGATCCTAGGTTCAACGCCGGGCCTAGTGGCACAACCTATACTCCTAGCACTCAGGAGGCTGAGGCAGGAAGATTGTGGTGAGTTTGAGGCTAATCTGGGCTACAGAAGTGAGTTCAAAGCCAGCCTGCACTACATAGTGAGACCTTGTCTGCAAAAAAAACATAAAGACCTAGGTTCAAACTCCAGTCCAGAAAAATAAAGACCAACTCATACTTTGAAGGGCATTTGATGATTTATAAACATAAATATGAAATTAACATTCTATTTGGGCTATAAAAACATAAAAATTACAACAAGACTTTACACATACAGTTAAAGTATCCATTGAATTTAGGAAAACACTAACACACTGGAAAAAATACAGTCATAAAATTAGCTCTTACATTTTTCTGGGGACAGAGAAGCAAAAGAAATGAGATAAAAAACAAAAAACAAAGCCGGGCATGGTGGCTCACGCCTGTATGTAATCCCAGCACTCAGGATGCTGAGGCAGGAGGATAGTTCGAGGTCGAGGCCAGCCTGGGCTATAAAGTGAGCTCAAGGCCAGCCTGAACCACATAGCGAGACCCTGTCTCAAAAAGACAAAACAAAACAAAACAAAAAAAAAAAACACTACCAAAAACAGGGTGAGACAATCATTTATTTATTAGACAGGGAAGATCATTTAAAGAGAGGAAACATATCCAAAGAGAATGTGTTTAGCGTGGTATTGTAAGCATCGATGTTCACAAGAAACAACGCTACTCAGTGCATCATGGAAACAGGCCACATACAACCAGAAAGATGCTGTCATGCCACTCAAAAGTAAGCCGCATTGCTTAGGAAACAATTAATTACTTGGGAGTTACAGAGCATGTCTCCAACTCACTGATCTGCATTTTCTGCTGCTGGGCTACTGGCCCATCGTATTTGGCTGGTTCCCTGATTATTAAGGAGTCTTCCTGTATTCTGGAGAACTTTCATTGGTGCATACTTCTCATACTTCTGAATTGTTACTGAAATCAGAGTCAACTGCAGGCTTAATTAGTTCATTATCATTACATATTTTTAACTACCCTAGGTAGTAATGGACTACTTTATAGTGCTATAAGTAACATTTCATACTTAATACATTTAGCACTGTTACAATCCACTCAAATCACCTTCAGTCCTATGGTACAAACCTTAACACAGACAACACAGAGTCACTGGCATAAATTTAAGAACAGATTTGGGGCGCTCACCTGGCCCGAGGTATACAAGCTCCTAGCAAAGTTACACACACCCGACAACTGCTATATCAATTTTTTGCCAAATTATCTGGCATCATTTTTAGCAGGATTTTCCTGACTGGGCAGAAAAAGAGAGATTTCCATACCTGTTCTAGAAACTATTCAAAATTTTATAAGTAATAGTATATCACGATTGCTTGGCTTATGAGGAAAAACTACTCAGCATAAGATTAACTGAGAAACCTATTGGGTATCTGGCCCTCCCTCCTTAAGTCTGCTGACTTACTGACCACTTCCTTTCACTGTAGTAAGTTCTCAAGATGAGAACATTTCATTGCACAGAGAAAACTCTATTTGGGTAATCAGTCACGAAAGACTAGATACGAATCCACTTATATTAAATGATCAGAACAGACATAGCTATGGAAAAAGAAGTGGTTGCCTAGGGCTGGGGGTGGGTACTGGAAGAAAATGAGAGGCAACTGCTACAGAGTTCAGAACTCCTTTTGGGGTAATATAATACCCTAACTTTGACTGCGATCATGGTTGCACAAGTTTGTGGATATATTTTAAAAATCAGGCCGGGCATGGTGGTGCACACCTGTAATCCCAGCACGTGGGAGGCTGAGGCAGGAGGATCCTTGCAAGTTCGAGACCAGCCTGGTCTATAAAGTGAGCTCAAGGCCAGCCTGAACTGCACAGGGAGACCCTGTCTCAAAGACCAAAAAAATAAAAAATACAAAAAATAAAAAATCACTTAACTTTACCCATTAAATAGATGAGTTACAAGCCATGTGAATTATATCTCAGTAACAGTGCTACAAAAACACATTAGGAAAGGAAGATAGCCCCACAAGAGAAGAAAATAAGAGGCTCTTCCAAATCAAGTCGTACCTGAGGAAACAATAGACGGGCCTAATTTAAGAGGCTGGTTTTTCGCACAGTATTTTGACTTCATTATTATCACTTTAATCCCTAACTTCACATTTCTAACACATTTCTAAATTATTTTAAGTTACCAACAGATTCTAACTTTGTTCTCATTAGAGAGCAGAGTCAATGTTCCACAGATTGAGCTGGTAAACGAAAACAATAAAAATCCAATGATAAAATAATGTTGTCCTATGGGGCTGTGCATTACCAGGCAGAACAGAAGGGCTGAGACTCATTTCTAAGGGAAACATGTCATCAAGTATAAGGGCATCTTATGGCTCTTGCCCAAACGGTATTTCCTTTTCAAATCTGCATACAGTTATTCCCTTTACACCTGTACAGTTCAACGGAAGTAATTCCTTGTATCTATACAATTCAACAAGAACAATGTTTTCTAAAAAGAAAAATAAAGTTGAGCTTCCTGTAGGTTTTTTTTAATTTTATTTTTTTGCCCAAAGAGCTGGCCTAACTTCTCTAAGAGTAAAATTACTGTTTGTGCATAAATTCAACTTTGTATCCTCATCTTTATCTTCAGCACCGTACAGGGAAGATGTGAAATGGTAAGCCAGGTATAAATCAGGAACTACAACAGCAATTCCTTACATGACCTTAATTGTCTAAACAAACTGAATATATTAGTTCCAAATATTTAGAACATATTTGGCTTAATTCCTTTGCATATGCCTTTAGATTAATGAGTTTTCCTCATTTTCACTAATTTACTAGCTTAGTATTAAATAGACTAACACAGACTTTGAATAAGTTAAAACTGGCTTAATCACTTTTCCTCACTGATTACTATTCTTCTACATAGGCAGGCAGGATAATAAAATCGCAACTCACTTTATAGTCATCTTCCACTATTCTTAATACCATATAATCAGGGAAATTCTTTACAGCTAACTGAACAGAACAGAAGCAGCCTTAGAGCAAGCTGAGCTTGTTAAATATATTTGCTATGACAGAATTTCTGACACAAAAATTGCTTACTGCACATGATCTCAGAGAAGTGATCAAACAAGACAGCTGATGTTAGCTGGGAGTGCTGGGGGGTGAGAAGTAAAAATTGGCAAATATCTGTGAAAGCAGAACCACTTTTTATGGGACATAAGAAAAAGTGAGAAATCACCATTTCAGAATTTGACAAGAACTGAAGACCACTTTACTGTCATTCGGGCTGCAAAACGCAGTAGTCATACGGTATCTCCAAAAAAGATTGCTAAAACCTGTAGTGCAAAAGAAATCTAAGTAAATAAATAATCTCAAACACCACCATCATTTTTCATGTGTTCAAAACAGTAACTTGTATAAAAGATGCAAATTTGTTTGAAATGAAAAAAATTCCCTATATGAAAGATCAAAGACTCATTTCACAGATAATGTATATACTCTAGTAACAACCTCATGAACAGTGTACGAACAGGGGCCATAGATTTTTTTTTTAAATTAGGTCTGAAAGGTCAATATAAATACTGATTGGGGCGAGTACTTCGCACCCCAAACTCCAACATTCAGCTCTGTGTCCTGTCCTATCCTGATACTACAATTTGTAAAAATCTTAACGGCGCAGTGTATCAAGTTTTCGTAACTTCAGTGATGTGTTAGAGGACAATGCATCTTGGTTTGAAGAATTTGTTGTTTCTGAAGGCTGGAACAGTACACGACCACGGTGATTAAATACATAAAAGGAGGGATGATTCCTTAAGGTGTCAAATGTCCTTAAAAGGAAAAACAAAGCATTGATTTTAGATAAATATTTATAAAAGCCTACTTGAAAATATGCAGGCTTCTAATGAATTATGAGTTTGCTATGGGTTATATTTTTCAATAAGTCCTAAGTCCATGAAATCAGACTATATATGATAATCATACTGTATCTCACTTTTTTACTATACAAAGAAAATTCCGAACCTGGAAAAGCAGCAAAAAGTTCTCAAATGTTTGTTATTCAGCCATCCCTTTCAGGAGGCTTACGAACAGTAACCCAAATACTCGCTCCACTTTAATCACCTCTGCAATCTAACAGTAGCTGATGTCAAAGCCTTTTAAAAACCAGTAGATTGTACCTTTGATGATTCCCATTTGAACCTTACTATTCAAGTCATGTGACCACTTCACAGATCTGTGTTCTAAAAACCTTTCAAGTACAACAAAAAATTCCCTTTGGCTCTCTGTACATCCTGTTGGCCAAAATGTTATATTCTGCTACAACCTACCTGATGCTGTTTTATTTTACTCCTTTCTTTCCTGGCCCCTTGCCTGTGATTCTTGCGAGACTATTTGTAAGAACGATACTGATAGTTGGCCTTCTTCTTTTCCAATGAGATTGATATAGTCTAAAATAAGTTCACAGATACCTTGTCAGATGGCTTTAGTGCTCACTTTTATATATTATTTTCCTAGAAAGAACAGGAGAACTTTTCCTTTTATAAAAACTCAAACCTCAAAGTCAGCTCCCCTAAACATCTACAAAGCATCATACAAAGCAGGAGGTGCAATGGGTGATTATTTAAAATGTGAATGATGGGAAAAAATTTTTAAAAGAGAAAAAGATAAAGAAGAAATAAAAACAAATGTAAATAATGAATTAAACTGAAGGTCGGGATGAGCTCTCTCTACCACATAAATGTTTATTGTGAACACTTTTTTTTTACTTTTTTTATCTTCTTTTTTTTCTTCTTCTTCTTTTTGAGACAGGGTCTCGCTATGCAGTCCAGGCTGGCCTTGAGGTCATTTTTGTAGCCCAGGCTGGTCTCGAACTTGCAACGATCCTCCTGCCTCAGCCTCCTGAGTGCTGGGATTACAGGAGTGCACCACCACGCCCGGTTCTTTTTGCCTTTTTGAGACAGGGTTTCGCTATGCAGTCCAGGCTGGCCTTGAGCTCATTTTGCAGCCCAGGCTGGTCTCAAACTCACAACAGTCCTGCCTCAGCCTCTCGAGTGCTGGGATTACAGGGGTGCGCCACCACACCCGGCACTGTGAACACTTCTAAGAAAATATACACAGCTTATATTTTCAGGATCAGGAAGGTAGATGAAGTCCAGAGATGAAATTAAACCAATATAAAGTAAAATGTGAGCAAGAAAAGCAAACAAATCCCATGAGAATAGCTTATAAGAAGTACAGGAGAAAAACAAAAGGAAAATAATACTCTTTAACCTAGGGATAGAAAAGAGCTTATAGGCAACACTTATGCCACAAATCAGCTTCAAGTAAGAGAAAATAGAAAAATGCCTTATTCTTCCAAAGACTATGTTGGTAAGAAAGGATGAAAGAGAAAGAATGGGAAGAAAAGGAGGAGGGATGGAAGGAAATAGAGAGGAGGGAAGAAAGAAAGGGGAAAGAGAGACGGAGCTTGGTTACAATTTCAGAGGAATTACCTATACCTATTTCCATCTACCAACAAAACAATAATTTTAAGCAACTAGTAAATACCACAAACTACTACCTCATTCTACTATCAATAATCAGGCATTCAATTTGCATTTTTCCTACCTTATCAAACGCTGCCTCAATATTTTTACCTCATTACTCATATAAACTGATTAATCAAAATATAAAAACAAAAACAATTTTTATGTACCAGAATACATACACTGTAGATTATAGATTTAAAGCAAATCCCTATGAAATTAAATGCCTCTGAAAAGGGAAAGACTTACTTATTCTTCAGTTCTGAAGTGGCATCCATGTCTTTAAACTCCCCTGCAATATGAACTATACCGTAACAGGTAACTGCAAAGGCCAGAAGTGTCTGAAGAACTATCTGTGAGTATAAAAATTAAGATTACTAAAAAGCACACAAATACCACAGGAGACATTTACAATCTTTCCTTCTATATGGTTTCTAAGGGGCAGTCCTCACAGCATCACACATCAAGGGTTCAAGTCTCACTTGAAATGCTTTGCACTCAGACACAATAAGATCTATAAATTCTGTGGTTTGGCAGCAAAAATACTTCCACTGCTTCAAAAACCAAATATAACATACTCAGACAAAATCACTGAGTACTGAATGGTATCAAACCACTTAATTATTAAATATTACTTGCTTCCAAGAGCAACTAAGAACTTTTAAATTATTGTTCAATGTCACTGAATACACGATGCATACAGGTATTATGTAAAGAGAAGTAATAAAAAGACACCGGGCCTGGGGATTTAGCTCAGCTGCACAGCACCTGCCTGGCAAGCGCAAGGTTGTGAGGTCAATTCCTGGTTGGGGGGGGGGCGGGGGACGACACACCAATCTACCCCCCACCTGCTTAGGAAATAGACGCTTCCCAGTACTTTTCAAGTCCTACGTGTCCCACTCTGATTATTTCCTTTACCTTCCCTCTCAAAGTTAACTATTTTTCTTGCCGGGCATGGTGGCACACATCTGTAACCCCAACACTCTGGGAAGCTGAGGCAGGAGGACTGCACACTCGAGTGCAACCTGGGCAACTTAGCAAAATCCTGTCTCAAAATAAACTGGGGATGGAGCTCAGTGTGAGGTCCTGGGTTCAATCCCCAGTATTGAAAAAAAGAAATATTGGTTCTGATTGTATATTAATCAGTTCCTTTTTTCTTGATAATTTTTACAGCTATGTACGTATGTATCTCTGAAACATACTGTTTACTTTTGCTCATTGTGAACTTTATTTAAATAGATTCAAGTGTATTTTTTCTGTATAGCGTTCTCCTTCCACATAATATTTGAGATTCATGCCCGCTGTAGTATGCAGTTGGAGTCCATTCATTTTCATAGTATTTCCTCATACAAAAACGCCACAATTTATCCATTCCAGCGTTGCAAGACATGTGTTCATATTGTTTTCTATTACTTTTACAATGTCTACATGAACATTCTTGTGTGTCTCCTGGTGCCCAGGAGTGGAAATATAATATTGAATATGCATGTTTACTGGTTAATACTAAACTGTTTTTCAAAAAGGTTGTACAAACAATAATGCTGAGTGTTTGGAATTAACCAACACAGAATTATAAGCATACTTTCTTGATTGTGATATTCTGAATTTTTAAAGTTTTCTAGTTTTAATCAGAAGAAAACTATTGCACATAGATAAAAATGTGTGCCTCTACAATAAAGCAAAGATGACAGACTGAGATAATAGTAACATCTCATATCCTCAATTATATCCAACTAAAGTCAAAATTAACCAGAAGCTGTTATTCTAAATTAAAACCTAACATACTATGCAATACCAGTTTGCACTCCAACCTCCTGTGTACCAAAGAGACTTTTTTCTTTTTCTTTTTTTTTTTTTTTTTTTTTTT